TTAAGTCCAGGCTTTTTGACATCATTGACAGCTGCTTTTTTTGATAAAAATTGGACTCGTAAATTTACTTACTAGTTATTGGTCATTCGCAAAATTATTTTGTTAAAACGCATGCTGATTGCACACACAAGTACTCTGAAGTTGACATCAAAAGGGCGCTTGAGTTTCTATTCGACAATATCTATGTGCTTTTTGGATACCAGGTTTTCCTACAATCTATTGGAATTCCCATAGGTACTAATTGCGCTCTATTATTAGCGGACCTATTTTTATAGCGAGCGCAGAGAGCGTCGCGAAGCGAGCTCAATAGACTAACGTGTATGAACAGAGGAAATTCGGATTGAAATCTGTACATACGTCAGCCAAATAGGGCAAGAAAGTCTCGTTTGTGCGTCACTTCCGGTTTGGCTGCTGGAGATAAACAATACGAACATGTGCTTTCGGTTCAATTTGCCTTTATTGCCGGTTTCACCTCGTGAAAAATGCTTTGTTTTGTGGCGAGCTGTAACCACCAAAGCTTGCGGGAAACTTGCAGCTTCTTCAGGTTCCCAAAGAAATCAATAAAGCTTTGGGAAAAACTTTGCAGGTATGATGTTTTATTAAAAAACACTTCTCAAAATATAACAGAGGAAAGTCGGGTTATACACTGTCCTTTCAATCGTATGCCTATAACATGTTACCTAATGCCTGAAATTGAATTCAGCTTAGGAATACAGAGTTATCAGTGTTGTATTTCACTTTTTAATATATTCTGATTCATTGTAACAGTGGTCTTTTATAGTCATATAATATATCACCCACGAGAGCACGGGTGGAGAGGGGAGGTGGATCTACAAGAGCTATGAAATTAAAAAAAATAGTACTCGGACATGAAATCTTTGTCTAGATTATATTTACACGTATAATTAGAATATAATATATTTAATTCAGGAGACAAGATAGGACAGTAACTGCAGCTGACAGAATATGCAGCTGTCATTTCAAAGATGGAAAAAAAGAAAATGGACCAACTATCTTCCCTTGGAATCAAGGACAGTATTTTGACTTTGGAGACTCTAATGCTATTTCAAGGTATGTTTTGAATATTTTTGCGTCATAATTTTGAGACATCATTTTACCATACAATTTATTCAATAACGAAATATTTTCTATCAACAGCTAATATAAATTTATGAAGTTAAAAAAATCTGATAGAATATATGTAAAAATTTGAAGTAGTTAGTTATAAACTAATTATGTAACACATACAGACAATGCAAACAGAGCCCATCTGTAAACCAGGGAGAAGAAAATGTGGTTATGACGGAAGAGACAGAGGCTGCACAACCAATTCAATCATTTAGTGAGGGTTTTGACCATGACCAGCATCTACTGCGACACGAGACCGTTACAAGCACCTACTGTGATAAAGAGTTAAATTTATTAAAACAAATCCAAGTGAGTATAAAAATTTCAGTAGTACATGTATTTAGTATTGTAGTACTTAAACTCTGTTTTGTGTACAATGTTGTAAAAAAAAAAACAGTTACACACTTATATTCATTCTTTCTTTATTTCCTCCCATTGGAGATTCATGAACATATAAGAACACATAGTGAAAGAACAAAAATATAACATCATAAAAGTGCTTATTATTTACATTAATGCAAAATTAAATTTGAAAAAGAAGAAATTGTCTTATATGTTTGCAAAAAAATAAAGTTAATGCACAGGGGTTAGAAGTATCCATTTACAAGTATGTTATCTTTCTTTGATACACCGCAGCCACATCTCTTATAAGGCGAAAGTTAAGAATATGGAGTTCTGGTGCATCACGGTCGGAAAGTACGGGTGTTAGACATCTGGCACCGAGCAGAAACAAGTATAATTCGTTTCCAGGGAGTCCTGAGAGTTCGGCGCCTAGTGAGATGTCGTAATCCTCAATCACAGTTTCCCACCAGGCGTCGCGAAACAGAGATGTTTCGGGGCAAACCGTAGTAATGTGCTCGAACACATTTGTGAAAGATTTTGCGCAGAGGCAGCATGTTTCCGGCAGTACATCTAAAAGGGTCCATAGCTTGACAATGAATTTACATAAAACAATTTCATGGATATTTTTTGGGATGATCCACAGATGCTCAGGTGGTTTGCTTGCGCAGAGAACGTTGAATCTAGCAAAGTCGGGGTCGACAAGCATTCGGTTGCGCCTAGAGGCAGAGTGAAAGGAGATGACAGAAGATTTCACTGAAGATTTCCACTGAGACTTGTTGGGGAAGAATCCACTTTCGAGATAACCAGTTAACACGTGGTATAAGTTGTATTTCATGAGTATGGGAATTATGTCCTGAATAAACCCATAATGTTTAGTACTAGCGTTGAAGAGGTAGGAAAACAGGCGGATGATGAATATACGCTTGGTGAGGTAAGTTGTGTTGAGTTCACAGAGACGACCAAAGAATTGCAACTTCTTAATGTCAATCTCTGCTGTAATTGGAAAGAGACCTAGAAGGCTTTCGCACATGTCTGATCTTGTATGATGGGGCAGTCCCATAACATGTTTAACAACGAAATGTTGGAATGCGTTGAGTGTTCTTATGTCTTTTGTCCGAAGATCGCACCATAATTCACTTCCGTAGAGAACTGATGGTAAGACAATTTTTTTGTACATTTTGGCCACTGTTATGGGGTTGAGCTGTTCGGAAACTTTAAGAGCGAAATATGCTTGCCGTCCTTTCCTGCAAGCGTTTGATGTTCTTTCGCCAGGATCAAAGTTGGAGCTTAGAAGAATTCCAAGATGATTGTATGAGTTGGAAAATTCAATGCGTTCATTGCCAAGACGCAAGCTTAAAGTGTCAGCAGGATTTAAGCGCTTTTGGTGGAAGAGGAGAACGTTGGATTTTGCGGTGTTAAATGTAAATCGCCAGCGTATTGAGTATTGGAATATGTTATCCAGAACTCTTTGAAGCTCAAGAGGTGTGAGAGCAATGACACAGATGTCATCTGCTAGGGTTGGGTTTGAGCTTTGAACATTAAAGACTCCTATGTTCTTGCTAAGATTTTGAATTTCTGATAGTAAACCATCAATGAATACGAGATAAAGGAAAGTCGAAAGTACGCCTCCCTGTCGAACGCCTTGGGATACTCGAAACCACTTGGAGCTGGTCTGGTTTACTACAACGGAAAATTGTGTGTTGGAGTGACAGTCATTTATCAAAGACCACATTGTGCCCGATATCCCGAGTTCGTGAAGTTTGTACATGAGACCGTGCCTCCATACCGTATCGAAAGCTTTCTGTGTATCTAAAAAGGCAACATAAACAGAGCTGTTTTGTTCAATATTGTGATGGATAGTTTCTTGTAGATTGAAGGAAGCTGTTAGACACCCAAGTTTTTCTTGGAAGCCTTGTTGCTGAGAGCATGGGAAAGATATTGATGGTAATAAGTTTGACTGTATTCTGGTGAGGATAAATTTTTCAAAAACTTTAAACGCACAGGGGAGGAGAGCAATTGGTCGGTAACTATCGGGAGATTTTCGAGATTTGTTGTTGCCTTTATAGATGGGAACAATCAGGTCTTTTTTCCAACAGGATGGAACATATCCGACTTCCAGAATTGCATTGAAGAGTTGAGCAATGCATCTAGCTACTTGTATACCGCCATGGATTAGATGTTCGTTTTGAGTGAGATCAAGACCAGGGGCTTTTCTGCGCTTGAGATTACGAGTAATGTTCTGTATTTCCGTAACGGTCGCGGGACCTCCTGGGAAACTATCATTTGTTGATCTCGATATGCGTTCGAGTTCGCTATAACGGTTTTCAATTGAAGTGAGAAAGTCTGAACAATAATTTGTATTTTCTTTGGCATTATAAATATCTGAGAAATGCTTTGCAAATGCGAGAGATACGCCAGGAGGGTCGTCAAACTGTTCGTCATTGTATTCAATAACAGGGTAGGTGCGAGAAGAACGTGGTTTCAGTCGTCTGATTAACTTCCAGAAAAGGCGAACATCGCACTCTGATGATTCATCTATGTCCTTAAAAACACTTGACATGTAACGATCATGTTCGTCGTTGAGTTCGTTCCGGAAGTTTCGTTTCGCATGTTTGTATTTTTTGTAAGAGTCGTGTGTCATTCCTCGAGGGCGACCTTCATTTATCCACATCCTTCGCATTTGGCGCTCTGTGTCGTGTAACTCTTTTACTTTGGGAGTCCACTCTGGCCTCAAGAAGGGTTTGTACTTTACATCAGAAATAGCCATTCTTAAGACTAGGAAACAACCTTTCACCATAAGCCAGATCATCAATGATGAAAAGAAGGTATCCATTTTTTTACTGACTGATACATTATTTGTTCCAATGTTGCTCCCTCTGTGAAGTGGTTAGAGCGTTGTGAAATAAGGAGTTGATCCTTACCTCCCGGGTTCAAATCCCATTGTGGGATGGAGACCAGTCCTTCAGATGAGACTGTAAAAACAGAGGTCCCAGGAAGTGCTGGCATGAAAAACATCCCTCACTGCTCAAAGGCCATAAGTGCCGAGTATAGTCAGAATTTGTAGCCCTGCACTGGCAAGTGTAGGCATCTTCATATAAGTGAAAAATTCATGAGACCGATGTCAAACAACAATAAGTCCTTGTTCAAATCGCATATACTGTATAAACACACCTATAAGTAAATTGATTTTTGGGAGTTAAACTTTGGTCCAAAACTCTTCATCCAACTTATACCATGTTATACGTGAGTTATAAAAAAAAAGGATTTTTGCAGGTCAATCCCTCTAAATAATTCAACCTTAAAAAATACAACCGTTTTCTATGCAATTATATAGAGTATGAGAAATTATTTTACCTTTTTAACAAACTAGAACAACTACATTCCATAAATTCATATTTTATTAGATGCTGATGTACACCTCCTTGAAAGCAGACATGTTTAGAGTAGTGGACTCAACTATTCAGAGATTTCCATTAACATATGTCAACAACTGGACCCCAGCAGTGATTTCAAGAACTGACCAGTTATTAATGACACTGATGAAATTGAAGCTAAACTCTCCCAATTTAGATTTAGCTGAGAGGTTCAACACAAGTAAGACAACAGTGCAAAATATTGTGGTTACACATATTTTTGCTTTGCATGAAGTGTTCTTTGAGGGCATGATTGAAAATAACATTCCCTCCCTTTTAAAGTGCAAGTCCTCTATGCCGACAAGTTTTGGTGATTTTAATTGTTGCCGTCTTGTGATCGATGCGACAGAGGTGACCCAAGACGTTCCAGGGCAGGATATGTTAGCACAGTCTCAAACTTATAGCTCATATAAAAACAGGCACACCGTAAAATCTGTTACAGGCGTTGCCCCTAACGGAGCTGTGGTATATGTTAGCAAACTTTACCCAGGAAGTACATCTGATGTGGCCATTGTTGAACACAGTAAAATGCTCTGCCAGTTGAAACCAGGGGATATGATTCTGGCTGATAAAGGTTTTACTATTCACTCTCTCCTTCCAGCAGGTGTGCATCTCAACATTCCTCCTTTCTTGAAAGACAAAGGACAATACACTCCTGCCGAAGTGCAACTGTGTAGAAAAATTGCCAGATCTCGTATCCATGTAGAGCGGGTAAATGAAAGAATAAAGAACTTTGAGATATTATCTCACATTCCTCACAAGTTTAGACATTTAAGCACGAAAATTTTTCAAGTATGTTCTATACTAGTCAATTTTCAAGATCCAATGATTGCAGAGATTGCAGATAATTACATTCAGGCTCAAGATTTAGACACTCAGTAATATATGATATAAGAACATTGAGATGGAGCAAATGTAATTTATTTCATGAGAGGTTCCAAGTATTTGTAATTGTGTTCAGCTTTAACATATATTTCTTTTATGATATTCATACCCTAAATCTATATTGTAAATGTAAGTGTAACAAAGTTTTGACAAACCCAACCTTGCTTCAAGTAGAGTGCTATGTATAAGTGCCAGGAAAATAAAGGTTATATTATATGTATCATAAATCTTGTAAACAACTTTGAAAAGAGCATTTTAAGGTAAATAGTATGTTGTCATTGACCTTTACAAAGATTCTTTGAAAATACTCCATTTACCATTATTTTTTGCAAAAAAGCATGTATATTTTAAATTCTATAATATCATGAAAGCTAGTAAATTTTACATATGTTATAGCAAATTTCTATTCTTTATCCATTTTTTTTAATACATTGAGTCATTAGTCTCTTTGGATAATGGAACAGTACAATTGTTATGAAACAATTCTTTGACAAAATGATGCCCAATATTTACATGGAATATGTGAAATACCAAATAATGTAGTTCCATATTGTACATAAAATTTACATGTATATTTTCATCTCTTCTTCTCTTGCTTACTTGCATATTACATGTTTTCAACTAGATAAAAAAAAGCATATACAGTCAAAAATTTATTACACAGTTTTAAATATCATATATATTATACACCTATTTAATGGCTATGAGGACAATAGGAAGTTTATCGTTCCCAAAGACAGCAAACTATTTCCCGAGGCGCAGCCTAGGGAAATAGTTTGCTGTCGAGGGGAACGATGAACTTGCTATTGTCTGAATAGTCAGTAAATAGGTGTTTTATTATACCGATGCTGACTTAACTTTTGGGAGTCCAGGGTACACACAATTTTGATAATCCATATTATACCGATACTGACTTTACTTTTGTTACATCATAATATATACGCGTCACAATCCGTATAAAATCAGAAGTTTTCCGAGATGAAAAACGAGGAAAATCGAATGCTGCCGTTGAATAGTTTGAGGACTATTCACCATGGGCAGATAGCACAAAAACTATTTCACGGCAGAGACTGTTTAGAAAAGATAGCATGTTTATTCGTCTTATTTTTATATAGAAAAAATAAACAGAGGTATAATAAATATATATATTTAAAAAGACATTTGAACAGAATACTTAACTTATTTCTTCTACAGTTCTGAAAGAAATCTTTCACTGTATTAATAAATTATGTTGTGTATTTTTAAGTGGTAAAAAATACTAAGAACAACCTGAAATACACTAAAAGCAAAAATCAATCAATACAATATAAAACTCAAGAAATAATTATTCATGATTATGTGTAATGATGAGATAACTTTCAGAAATAATTCAGAAAATAAAGTATAACTTCTGTTGCTGGTTTCCAGCTTTACCCTGTGTACATATGTATAACAATAAGATTCCTTATAAATAGTGCCTTGTATATACGTCAGCCAAATTTCTCTGTGCAACATTCCCAGAATTCCTGCACTACCCAATGTCCTTTGCGCGAATAAATCAAAAATAGTAGAAAAAATTAAAGGAACATTGTTTCTTACCGAAATCTTAACGAAATGATTTTGCCTAACCTTATTCAAAAAAATACCCCCATGCCACAACACCGGCCTTCACCTTGCCCTTCGGAAATAATACAAATGACGTCACCGGAAACTTACGAATTTTGACGAAGTTATGTCGGTTGCTTCCGTGAGACTCGGAAAACATGTTGCGGTGCATAGCAACATGGTGGCTAAAACATAGCAACAACTTACTTGAAAAAAACGATTTAATGCAATCTATTTTCCTTAAAACTAGCGTTTGCGTCCTAAGTCAACAGAATTGACGTCATACTTTCGTCACTTCAACGGTTCGGGTATTTCCGATTTTGTCGGAAACTTCCGAGAAGTTCGGAATCTCGATCCCGATGCTTGGGAAATGATTTCTTTTTATTGTTTTGTTTTATTCTTTTTGCTTTCTTTTTCTTGAATGATAGACAGTACATATGTAGGTTTATGATAGTAAATAAACTGCGCTCGCCCCAACGGTCACACCGTAAAACATATTATTCATATGTACATGTAGCAGAATTTGTGCAAAGTCTTAGAAGCAAAAAGAAGGAAAGAGTTTCCATGGCCTCCAACTCGACATTTAGATATATCAACGACGTATTGTTTTAAATTAACAATGGTAATTTCCATTCCTACGTCGATACGATATATCCTGATGAGCTTGAGATAAAAGATACCACAGAGTCTGACACTTCTGTTTCATACTTGGATATTGTACTTGAAAAAGACGTTACTGGTAATCTAACAACCAAGCTATATGATAAACGTGATTACTTTAACTTCTCTGTCGTCAATTTCCCTTATTTACGTATGCATCAATATACCTTCATCACCTACATATTGAGTGTATTTAGAGCTTGCTGTTCGTATGAAAAATTTCTAAACCGAGATAAATTATTGACAAGCAAGTTGATGAAACAAGAATATCAGCCCTCACGTTTAAAGTCATCATTTCGTAAATTCTATGGTCGATACAATGACCTTGTCAGAAATACAATTTATCATTGAGTCAAAAGCCGACTGACGTTTTTCATACTAAATGTTAGCACATTATTCATACACTGAATTGACGACAGATTTTCCCCGTTATTTCCTGATCATGACAAGAAGTACACGGCGGGTGTAACCGGTCGGCAGGGGATGCTCTCTCCTCCATGGCACCTGATCCCACCTCTGATGTCCCACATGTATTTTGTATCGTGTTTTATGGGCTTTGAGATTGAATACTGTTCGTTATCTCCATATCCTTCTCCATGATTAAACTCATGATTAAAAATACTTTAAAGAATTTTAGAACCTGAGGGGGAACAAAACGCGCGGGATGCCTATAGGTTCAAATATTAAGAAATCATATTCAGTTTGTAAATTGAGTTTTTAAATTAAGTTCTCAATATTGAAATTTATTACTTTATGATAAACAAAACCTCTCTTGGAGGAAAGAAATCTCGGATTTTTTTTTGTATTAAAAATATAAGATGGTATAAGTGGGATTCGACCCTAGGTTTAATAGACTACAAGATTAGTATTTCTCCGAAAGAGGCGATCGGTTTTTTTTTCATAAAAGTGTACTTTTAAGATAAAGTGGGTTTTCGCTCTATGTTTTTGTAAACCAAAGAAAACATTTTTTTTAATTATTGCAAATGTTTAGGTTTATCTTTCAGAAAAAAAGGAGCGAAGACCCGCTCCTACGGAAAAAATGGTGAAGTATGAGAAAATGACCTTTTTTTTTCTTTTTCCATGAGTGTATGCTATTTCAAAGGCAAATATTTTCAGTCTTTCTGAGATTTTTGTAAATGTAGAGATATTACGTATTAACATATTACATTATTACATTTAGTTTAACTTTATTGTTTGGTGAAATATCAAAGAAAATTTGGATATAATTGAGATGCAATTTTTCAATTCACATCTGTCGCACTATAGGCGATAGGCGCTTCTTCCGCATTACCCCCCCCCCCTTTCTTTGTAACTTAAGTTATATGAATTAAAGTAACCCTTTTCAATATAAGACCAAAATGAAAAAAAAAAGTTTCAGAGCATGAGAAAATCTAGTTCATTTTGAACATAGAGTATCTCACAAAAGATGATCCCTGCCCCACCCCCAACCCCCTAAAAAAAAAATGAACGACAGCAATGAAGTTTAATTTTTTTGTACTAGTAGAACTTTAAGTTCATAGAAACGTTGTTTCCTTATATTTGGAAATACATGCTATTTTGGTCAAATTATGATACATGTATTATGTTTGGAAATCTTAAAACTATTTCAAAATGTGTTATTCACTAATATTTTACTGGGAAGGAGGGGTGGTAACTGGTAAGGGGGCTATCATTTTATAATTATCAATCATGTTTTAATTCTAGTTCTTGATCTTAGAGTTGAAGATATATTAGAAAACCCTGATGTTGGCCTAAATAGAGCTGTCATTAGCTGAATCAGTGTTTCACAAATACATCTTGTTTTCATTTTGAATTAGAAACTTTTCATATACAGCACTTTTAATGTCAAATTTTCATCGGGATCAAGGTTGAAAAAATTATGTTTCACATTGGCGTCAAATCAAAAAAATCACAAGAAAGGCAGAGACAGGTTCAACTGACTCAGAAAGATCGGCCCATTAACACTATTGTGTACTAGGTAACAGCTGTATTAAAATTTTGACTGGTATATTGACTCGATTGGGTAGATTTTGAACTAATATTTATACCTTTAAATTACCTGAGTGTATGTGACTTAATCCAAGTCATCGGGAAGCGCATATTTTTTTTTTTTTGGCAGATCAGTTAAACAGGTTGGGCACAGTTCCTCTTTCGGGGAAGTATTACTATAAAAGGGAACTATTACTCTTTTCAGTAATAAAAAACATTACTGAACTCGGGAATTTTCACTAGTTTAGTCTTTATATTCGTGTTTGTCTTGAATAAAAAATAAAGTGCAAGAATATTTTCACATCCTCTAAATATTTATTGCCTATTAAGTGTATGTGTGTTCAAAACTGCAATATTTATTGCTGCAAAAAGCTGAAAAAGAGTGATAAAATATTTCTAAAGTATAGATTTCTTACGGAAGCTTACCTGTGTTAAAATTGTGAGATTGGATAGGTTCAGCACTTGCTAACTCATTCATGAGATTATTCGTTTTGATTTATTCTTGTACAGTTTCTTTAATTGACATCGTAAAAATAATTTTAAATACCATTGCTTCTTTTACAGATGAAATTCTTATTTGAAATATTAAATTTCAAAAGATATTCTTTTAAAATTGTTTTAAAATGAATGTCCTTATTAGATTCCATACTTTTGTACCATTGATCAACAAAGAAGAAGATTGAATCTCATCTTACTCTTGTCTGCAGCATTGAATGACTGAATTTTTTGGTCAGCGAGGTTTGTTTAATAAAGATTAAACACGTTACATCGCATTTTTTATGCACTTTTTAGTTTATAAATGGATTTGAGACATTATTTGAAAAATGTGAAAAAAATTCCCGAATTGAGTAATGTTTTTATTACTGAAAAGAGTAATAGTTCCCTTTTATAGTAATACTTCCCCGAAAGAGGAACTGTGCCCAACCTGTTAAACAATATGGACCTGACTGCCTTTTCTGTCTGGCCACACAACAACCCCTGGAGAAAGCTGACACCTTAAGGCTGATTCAGTACCTAAGGGCAGACAACTCTGAGTGCAGATGGCACCCTGGACCCCGTGAGTCTGTGTCTGTTAATGGCCCTCCTGTACTGTTTTGATGTCAGTCTGTTTGAACATGAAGATGGAAGAGGTTAGTCGATCCCTGATAATTTATTCATCATTTCACAAACCATAATTTTATTATTCATAAATTAATGCTGTGTATAATTCATTGAAAAATATCAAGTTTGAACTTTTTTTGGCAATATACATGTCAATCTTTCTTAAGCAATTGCTTTGAAATAATAAGAATTATCAATTTAAAAATGAAATAAAAAGGTTAAAGTTGATGACTTTTGACATTTACAGATCAAGGTCCTGCAGCGTCTACCAATGATGATGGACTCGACCTACATACCTGACATACACCAGGATCTCATGTCTACGCGAGTCTGGACCAACTCAGGTCTTAGTTCAAAAATCAACTGAAGGTAAAGTTTGAAAATGAGACAAAGAGCAGCACTAAGTATATTATTAGAAAACTCAGGTCTTGATTGGGAAACCTACTATTGGTTTATTATACATGCATGGTTAAAAACATGTCAATCAGAAGATAAATACATCCTTTATGGTACCTGCCTTAGAGTTGATATTTCTACCTTGGTACATGTATGTCATAATACATCGTGAATGAATTTGATATGGCAAGATAGTCATAAGTGCTTTAAGATGTGTTGAAAGTAAACTGTAAACTCATTTTGGGCTTTATTGATATCTTAGGATGACTCGCTCTTGATTTACATGAACTTGATTTGTAGGAGTGAATGGAATTTGTGAAGAGGATGAGGTGGTTATTAACGAGGCCCTGGAAGCTAACGTGTTCCACTTCCTGCGACTGGCTGTTGTAGCCGTACATGATTTCCATAAAGAGGTAGGTCATTTGGTGTATATTTCAAGTTGACATCAAAATTTACACACTTGTAATTCAGCAGCAAGTCAAAAAAGAAGTTGTTTGACAAATCATTATTTTGACTCTTCAGACTGGATTCTTAATATCCTAACAGGGTTGGAACTATTAAATAGCATATTGTTTTTGTTTTGTAGGAATATTATCTAAAGAAAGTCCAAAGGCTGGTTACAGACTTTATTTTTCACATGCCACTGAAGGTATGTACGTATTACTAATTATAATTAAGTGACACCTAAACTAATTGTTAATGAATTTGATCACAAAACAGTGCAAATTTTGCATGGCTAACTTTGTCTGAAATGAAAAGAATATTCCATTCAACATTTCAGATATATAGCAAAAAAGAAAAAGAAAACTTTTGTACATTTTTATAAATTATGAACTGATGATCAGTAGAAAAATAAGTTCTTTTCAATGGTTGTAAATTTTGAAATAAATGTTGATTAAAGTAAAATATATCTGAAAAATATTCCTCATGTGAAAAAGAGAAAGGAAAATTTAAGTTAGTTCGAACCCTTTATGAAGTGGTAAGATTTATATATTGTACAAATTTTAATATAGTCTTTTAAAGGAACTTTATTCTGTATGATTGACAGGTGAAAGAGCTACTTACAAGAGATGCGGCGAGAATCGTGGCATCCAAGAGTTCCCTAGAACCTCCCACGTAACCCAGTCATGGCTTCCAGTATTTACTGAGACAGGTATGTAATGGTCCCTAGTGTTAACTGCTTATATCAACATGATTAAGGTTTACTGACCCTCTGACAAGAGAGATAACTCCCACGTCACCCAGTCATGGCTTCCAGTACTTACTGAGACTGGTACGTATCTGTCGCTAGTGTGTACTGCTTGTATGAACATAATTATAAGGTTTTCTGACTGTATGACAAGAGAGATAACTATGGCTTAGATGTATAATAATTATTTCCATAGAAATTAATAGATAATGATAGAATTTCTTTAAAAATTTTGAAATTTAAATTTATTAAATTGTTAACATATCAGTTTTATCTTATCTTTCTTGTAGAAATCACCATGAAAGCCATTATCAATATTGATGATCTGTGGTGTGATGCGACATAAAATCCTACCATGTATTTTCAGATTGGAGATTTATACAGAAGTGACCCCCTGGGACTGAAACTGTCTGTAGAGTACTGGTGTCCCCAGGATGAGTACGGACCTCATGAAACAATGTACAATGTTAGACGTGCACAAAGACAGGAAGATAAAAATTAAAATCTGCAAAGCAAAAATAATCTTCTATTAAGTTTTAGAAAAGAGAAGGATTTTAGCCTTACATAAGTAGGGAATGTACATAGACTGTATGTTTTATATTACAGATGTCACTGTAAAAATTTGTCCATCTGGCTGGGGACCTCCTGCCCCCCTCCCTCTACGTACCCTACATCCAGATGTTCATTGGTCTGTTTTACATTACAGGTGTCGCTGTACAAGTTTGTCCATCTGGCGGGGGACCTCCTGCCCCCCTCCCTCTATGTACCCTACATCCAGATGTTGATTGGTCTGTTTTACATTACAGATGTCACTGTAAAAGTTTGTCCGTCTGGCTGGGGACCTCCTGCCCCCCTCCCTCTACGTACCCTACATCCAGATGTTGATTGGTCTGTTTTACATTACAGGTGTCGCTGTATAAGTTTGTCCGTCTGGCGGGGGACCTCCTGCCCCCTCCCTCTATGTACCCTACATCCAGATGTTGATTGGTCTGTTTTATATTACAGGTGTCGCTGTATAAATTTGTCCATCTGGCAGGGGACCTCCTGCCCCCCTCCCTCTACGTACCCTACATCCAGATGTTGATTGGTCTGTTTTATATTACAGGTGTCGCTGTATAAGTTTGTCCGTCTGGCGGGGGATCTCCTGCCCCCTCCCTCTACGTACCCTACATCCAGATGTTGATTGGTCTGTTTTATATTACAGGTGTCGCTGTAAAAGTTTGTCCGTCTGGCGGGGGATCTCCTGCCCCCCTCCCTCTATGTACCCTACATCCAGATGTTGATTGGTCTGTTTTATATTACAGGTGTCGCTGTAAAAGTTTGTCCGTCTGGAGGGGGACCTCCTGCCCCCCTCCCTCTACGTACCCTACATCCAGATGTTGATTGGTCTGTTTTATATTACAGGTGTCGCTGTAAAAGTTTGTCCGTCTAGCGGGGGATCTCCTGCCCCCCTCCCTCTACGTACCCTACATCCAGATATTGATTGGTCTGTTTTACATTACAGGTGTCGCTGTATAAGTTTGTCAGTCTGGCGGGGGACCTCCTGCCCCCCTCCCTCTACGTATCCTACATGCAGATGTTGATTGGTCTGTTTTATATTACAGGTGTTGCTGTAAAAGTTTGTCCGTCTGGCGGGGGATCTCCTGCCCCCCTCCCTCTACCTACCCTACATCTAGTTGTTGATTGGTCTGTTTAATATTACAGGTGTCACTGAAAAAGTTTGTCCGTCTGGCGGGGGACTTCCTGCCAACCTCCCTCTACATACCTTACATCCAGATGTTGATCGGTCTTAGCAGTAACCACAGTCTGCCCTCTACTGCTTCGACCTTCTGAAGGTCAATGGGATGGGGTCAGGTTAGAATTTCTGATAGCTTCAGTGGAATTGTGTATCTAAAGAAGTTCTAATGGCAGATGTCTTTATGTACAGTTACTAGTGCTTTAATTGGAAAAGACAACAGGTAGGGAACTTGGATAGCTTCAGTGGAATTGTGTTTCTAAAATTGTTCTAAAGACAGATGTCTTTGTGTGCTGTCACAAACAGTCTATCCTGCAGTCACAGATGTAAAAAGACAATTTAAAAGTTTTAGAGCGTGATTGATTCCAGCAAGCACTGAGCTTTCTTAATTTACCGTGATATGAATCTGTTCCTAAAATATACAACAGAAGTTTTGTATCTTGAATGAATACCTTGGATATAAGTATGTCAAAGTAATTAAAAGAATGACTCATTTCCTTTTTTCTTTAAGTATTTTACCATTGATATCTCAAAGTAATTTCTTGTTCTAAAAAATTAACATGGTTTGCCTGAACTTGACTTATATGAGTATTTTTTACACTAGGAGGCCCAGCCAGTGCCGTTTCGTGGCAGCACATTTTCCTGTCGCTGAATCAGTACTATGCCAGTTTGCGTCGGGAGGATCCTAGCACACTGCCCTGACATGTCTCACATGGGGCTCAGAGTTCCCCACCCCCGAAGAATCACCCCACAGGAACTAGAGGGGCTGGTCGTCGTCCTGAAACTGTGTCGTGTGGTGTCTGAATATGTGAGTACATTTGTCCATCATCAGATAAAGAAAATAATTATACTTTAATAGCCAAGGGTTTTGATTTGATCAACCCATAATTCATTGTAGTTTGTTATTAAGGCATGATAATAATGGGTCTGTATTATTTTTAAGTTGTATTGAATAATGAGTTTATATCAATTTTAATATTCCTGAATCAAAGCATAGGAAGTAATAAAGACTTTTAAAAGGGGAATCTAATTTCGAAATCTGCATAAATGGCAGATTACTATCTAACACCAGAAAAATTGACATCTTATGTTACAGAATGATCGAACTGCTGTGTGGCGTTCTGTGAGAACCAGCAGTGGCAGGTGGCGGTGGTGTTAAAAGGACTCATGACCTGTAGTATCCCCCGCGATCTTAAAGCTGAGATCTTCAGGGTGCTGGCAGGGTTTGCCAAGACGCCGGACGTGGCAGCCAGCCTGTGGCATACACTGGAAGCCTCACAGGTAACCACTGAAATACTGCTCTTTACTATATCTTTATTGATGTTAAGTGTATTTATTGCATTGACATGCACCTCTCCTCTTGTTTTCCCTATATTATACTGTATATACATGTATGTGGGTTCACTATATTAATTTGTTTAATAATTTGTTTTAAAGAATCTGACCACAGTCCAGAGCAGCAGTTCCTCGCAAAGTGGAATCCAGGTAAATGTTAATTTGTTTTCTCAGGTTATAATCTCTGTTCTTTTTTATAATTCTCCAGCCTAAAAAGAACAGAACTAAATCTTGCTGTACACATAGAAATTTATCTAGAGACCAATACACATGTAATTACATATTGTGTCTCTCAAGCTTGTTAGAGTTATGTACCTTTGATGTCTGTTTTTCCCTGTAGGTGGAGCTGGAGGAGGTAGAGACCCGAGCGGAGGAATTCCCCAATTGCAAGACGCGAGCTTTTGAGTCCTTACTGGACTCCCTCAATGACATTCCTGTTCCCCCGGGCATCAGGGCAGGTCTCAGGGCCCCAGGATTTTAACCCTACCTAGAGTTTGTCAAGAATGTTTGAGAAGTTTTACGCCAGCAGTTACAAGAATCAGAAAAGGTTGGATATAAGATTTTTTAAAATGTTTTTTCAATCTTGTTGATAAATACATGCACTAGCTGTTCTATCATCAAATAAAAAAAAATTACAGCTGGAAATGAAAAATACACGGACAAAAAAGGTAGAAAGAGATTGAAACAATGAAATTTTTATTAGCTCTACTGGTCACAGACCAGAAGAGCTTATGCGATAGTATGGTGTCCGTCGTCCGTCAAGCTGTCTAGCTGTCCATCTGTCTGTGAACAATTTTTCAAAACGCTACTCCTCCTACAGTTTTGGTCTGATTTTAATATAACTTGGCACACAAGTAGACTACACTAAGATACATAAAATAGAGCATCGGTTTTTTATTTCTATGAACAGTGTTGCCATTGTTACTAAAAATAGAAATGTCTTTTGTTATATCTTTTGCTATAAATACAAACCAGTAGAGCTACAGTCTTGACAGAGACTTCTGGTTTAAAAACTGTATCTGTCATTATCATTGATATTAATTGAAAATGTGGTTATTGTGTGTGATTTATTGCCAAAGGTAATTAAGTCAATGCAAGTGACTGTTTAAGAATCCCTTGTATACAACTGCAGGATTGATTTCTTTCAAGAACTATAGAACACTAAATTTTCGCGATACCTTATTTTCCTGAGATAATATTGATTCTTGATTAGCAAGATTGGCGAATTGTGGTTATTGCTCTATATAATCTTTAGAAATACTATTATACGCAAGCATTAAATTTTTGCGAGCACGCTATCTCGTGTAATTACGCGAAAATCAAGTTCTTGCGAATAAAAAGTGATTTACAGCAAATGTAAAGCTTTATTTACAGTGGGAGGTGTCCAGTGACTGTCTGAGGATCCTATGTAAGCTCCTACGGGAGTATGATGTGGTGGGGAGTGTCTTTGGGGAGGATCTTGTTGAGGTACAGATGGGGGGCGTGGTGCCCGCTAACAAGTCACCGGGTACATCCTGATTGTGGTGTTTTATATCTTGTAGATTTATACAGTTCAGCATTCCTCTTCCTGAGCATGCCCAGTCAGCGATGAAGATCCTGTATCGAGTGTGTCACTAGGCTCCCGTTCAGGTGGCCCTCGTCATTCTGTTCACATCACATCAGGTAACAGTATGATTTGATTAAGACCCCAAGATGAACATATTTTTTAAAGCTCTGAATTCTCCTTGAACCAAGAATTATTTCAAGTCTGGTTGACACTGAAAAAGGTGCTACATAGTGCACTGTGTCTATTTCCAGAATTAGATAAATGCGTGCACTAAATTGTTATTGGGTTCTTTCGAAATCTTATGCCATGTAATTCTTGGTTTACATTGTTGTATCATGTAAAATTCATTATTCCAGACCTCTCATCTGGAGCTGCTCCTTGGATTTGTGGAATGTCTGGAAGTGGAGGAACCAGAACAAATGGTGGAGCAGACAATCCACTTACCAGAGGAGGAGGGTATGTTAAAATTGTGTGGAGAGAGAGAGAGATAGAGAGAGAGAGAGAGAGAGAGAGAGAGAGCACTCGCGCTCACCGACTTGTGGGGAACTCACACCTGACAAAGGACCTTTCTTATGGGGAAAGTTCAGAATTGTGGGGAACTCTCTCGTTCCCCACAAATATGGTCATGGGGTTTTTTGAATTCTACGTGTTCTACTGATAATATTTATTCGATTTGTGGTCATTTTTAAAAAAATCCCCATAAGTCCGTAAAATTGACTCGCAGTAATTTTCTCACTGCACCGTAAAACGAATGTTTGAGGATGCTGGGAAATGTTCATTCGGAACGCAGCGGAATTTAAACTGGTCCCCATATGATACCAATTTATTGCGGGCAATGGCTGCTCCGAGAATATGTGGTAAGTAGATTTTTTATCATATTTTAAAGATATTATAGGCTGAAAACTTAATTTAACTACGTAAATCATGCATGCAGTTATTTCTTACAGACGTTCGTAAAGTAACATTTAATAATGAATGCACGTAAAACTTTGGGAAAGTTTGACCCGACCTAGACCTCGGTTATTTTTTTTTTAATTGTATCATGTTTATAGGCCTAATGGCTATCCTGTAAGAACAAACTACGGATTTATATGAATTCAGCACCCCCGGGATATGGTAAGCGTTTAAGGCTTGTCCCCATTTTTTGAGAAACGCGACTATCCTCATCATGCCCATACAAATTATGCTAGACGGTGCGACTGTCTGGTCTTTAGCTGTTTAGTGAGGCCTGTGTGGGCGAATTAATTGTAAAAGTTAATCTGACTTAAACTGTACGTGTATTTATAAACGATGTCAGTCACACACTGACTCAGTGTCAGAAATGTATCACAGAGAACTCCACCTTTTCAAAAGGTCCATTGAAATCAGTACATTTATAGATTTACGTAGCTAAAATTTCTTAGCTTGGTTAGATTATTTAACATGTTTAATTCTTCCAAAAAAAGCTTGATTTAGTTATCGTTTTTTTATCAAGTCATTCTTCCTACTTGTATATATTTCTTCGCATGCGTTGGTTTGCATAGTGTCCATTTGCCTTCATTATCTTTCACCTGCACCCTGTTCTACATTCATCCTGATTGCCCTACTGAAAATATTTTCATGATTTTAGACCATCATTTTCGATGTATCATAAGTATTTTTTTTATTTTGCTAAGGCCAAGATAAATAGATAGTGTTTCCTATTTTAACCTTAGAAAAGATAGGGTAGGTAGGTAGGAAAAACATTTTTATTTTATTTTAACATTTTATTGGCAGGCACGCTGCCACTTTCCCCCAGGATTTCACTGTCAAAATATTTCTGATTAATATGTGTAAGATATATGTATTATTATAACAGTAACTTGATCCGAAGGGTCGTATCACGTCGAGTTGACAGGCGCAGATCATCAGATCTAACGAGACGCGAAGTGTCGAGTTTGATCTGATGATCCTCACCTGTCAACGAGACGTGATACGGCTCTTCGGATCAAGTTACTGTTATAATGATATATTTATTATATACCCCCTCATGACTAGCAAAATATAGCAAAAGAAAACTTTAGAGATCGATTGCATAACATTTATCCATAAAACAAAGCACAACAACAAGGGACTTTTTAACGCGCAAGAAAAATAATGTCATATTTCTGCGTACTACGTCATCAGTTTCAGAGAGTGGTGATATGGATTCAGAAAACAACATGTTGGTGATCCGGAAAATCGGATCACGACGTCACATGATAGCGTTAATTCAACAGTAAAATTGGGTGATACACATTAGGTATATAATAAATGCATTTCTCAAACATGGAAGTGATCAAGATTGGGATTTCATTTCTAATTGTAAACTGGAATTCCGAATACTGTAATATGTGTATATAATTTGGTGCTTTCAAAATTTAGCATAATCACTGGGTTGGCATAATCATAAATTAGCGCTACACATGTATGTGCGGTGTATTGTATATATCAATATGTAAATGATTTCTTAGCAGTATTCATGAATTATACATTGTTGTCTGCACCAAAGCCGCTAAAATATGAAGCCTGCATTTTAAAGTATACATACAGTAGTTTATTCATGGAAAGATATTAGCAGAAAAAATATTGAGGGTCGGCTCCTATACTTTTTAGAGTTAGGCGGGGAACTAAACATGCTGAAAACACACTACTTATTTATTTAGGCCCAATTAAAATGTCTAATAAATTCATTTTAATTAAATACTTATTGTTAATTAAAGATCACCTTTTATTTTTAAAATTTGTTACAATTCAAACCTTGGCCTTGGGGTTTAGATGCTGATGGAATAAATAAGAAACAAAATCATATGTAAAAAATAACTAAAAATCCTTTTCAAAACCTCAATTACTATTGAATTATGATTGGGCGTGGTATACAAAATAATGCGAATTGGAGGAAATGGAGAAACATAGTAATAACAATTAGATCAGCTTTTATGATAGCGAGCATATTAAAAATTTAAAATTGGTTATAAAATTGAAAGGTAATGTTGAGATTTTAAGATTCAATATCTATTATTCATAATTATTTAATTTGCTTAACTGAATTTATACCTTTTTAAATTTATTTACATATAACGATCGCGCTCAAAGTTTTGGGTCTGATAATGCTTCCTGATTTTGGTCTTTTATTTTTTTTTTTAAGAAAACCATTTGATTTCTGCACCCACTCCTCCTTTCTAAAAATTTTTAATCTGCCTCTGGTTACTTTACGCTGTAAATTTTAGTGCTGTGCGATATTACCGGTTAACCGGTGTATCCCGATTTCGTTCTTCACAATACGTATCGCGATATTATTTTGTGAATACTGGTTCGGGTTCGATATCCTATAAATTGTTACAAAAAGAGTTATTTGCCCCTTTCAAGGTAAAATATGGCGGCAAGCAACGTGAAGTTTGATCGGAAACCAGAGACATGTTTATCAGAAACGAAAAGACGACAACTGTTACATGAAAGCCCTTCATGTTAAAGCAGAATCTGAATATTACATTTTGATTCTTAAAGTTGTGCCACAAAACCTTAGCTTGCCACTTGCGTACATACAACGCGATCAGGCAGTTGTAATATCAACTTGAGAATACATGGAATTTGAGTTTTTGTTTTTTTTTAACATTGATGAAAAGCAAAATTTATTAAAAATTTTATATTGGGATATATTGCAATACAAAATATAATATTGCGATATATCGCGATACGATTTTTCAGCCGCGATACCCAGCTCTAGTAAATTTCTATTCTCATTTTAATTAAATTAAATAAATACTAACAGCACTATCATGCAATTTCAATGACTATCATTTAAGGTATTGATTCAGTTTTCTGTCATTCCTAAAAATAAGTTGTACTGTATCGTTGATTTTTTGCATATAAAACAGTTTCTGCTCATCAAACATCCACGAGAAAGTGTTCTGTTTCGCAGTTATTGTACGGTTGATTTAAAAGGGAAAGTTCTCTGGGCCATGTCACAAGAAGGAAAAAAGTAAAATATTTTTCATACCTACCTACCCACTGTTAACAATATGGTTCAGGAAAGGACATACATTAAGTCTTAATTTTGGCATGCCACATGGGGTCAAAAATTACTATTGAGTGATGTGGAGATATACCTGTCTTGTAATTATAGGTAAAGATATGAACACTTTAAAAAAAATATACAATGAAATCTTTGAACTGAAAGCAAAATTATCATTGCAGGTTTTCGGGTTTTCACCACAAGAGCAAATTATACAACTTTATTCTTGAAAATGTTAGAGACTGAGACTTGGAGTCAAAGTCAACAGACACGCTTGCATGGACATGAAGGATGTAAAGAACTAGAGTATTATAACTGAAAGCATTTTGTCTGGATTTGTGTATGGAAACAGAAGGATTTAGTATTGGTAAGTCAAGATAGCTGTAAAATCTCATTTTGAACTCTATATGTGAGCAGTACTGTAAACCAACTACCAGGTAGTACACATGTACCCTATTTGTGTCATCTTTTATTTGCATATCTAATCTGTGTTGATTAATTTCCGTGACTAATGAAAGGAAACATTCTCTACAAATATAAAGCAAAATTAATAGTTCAGGGCAATTAATAATTTACTATTCACTAGTAAATGTAGGTCATGAAACTGGCAAATATTTCTTGCACTCAAATAAAAGTTGGTTTACAGTACTTCCGTTGCTCTAAAAACAGAAATAATAAAAAAAAAAAAGCATGCTGATATCATGTATGTTATGAAGCCTAATACATGTACATAGAAGTATATAAACCGGTATATCTAAAATAAAAAAAAAAATTTGGTCCTTGTTCATGATTTCAAAGTAGGTTAAAAGCCTCATGAACATGCTGAGAAGTTGTCAGAAAATATACATGTGTGCTAACCATGCTAACTGTGTAACAATAATCAGAAAATTTTACAAAATATAATCAAAATTTGGTTAATAATAATTAGTCATTGGCCAATTAAATCCATCAATGATTAAATTAGTACTTATATAGACTGTCTCCTGATTTTATGACTTTTTATCCTTTTCAACATACTTATTATTTTTGAATTGAAAACATTTTTTTTTACCTGAGAAAATTAAAATTTGCAATTTGTTTTAAATCTAGTGAAGGAAAACAAATGTTTTTAAAATTAATGTGCTTTTATTTAAAAGACTTGTAAACATTAGATTAGTAATACATGTAGTTTCAATACAATTATTAATATTGATGATTGATTTTTTTAAAGATTTGATAGTTATTTTATTTGTTGAAAAATAATTTTTATCTGTAATGTTCATGTATAATAAAATAATGCATTTCCCAATAAGTGATAAATGTTTCCCACAAGTCAGCAATATACACTGAAGTGTACATTTATTGGTTGGGTTCAAAGGCAACATTTATATGGAAACAAAGTTTTAAGGGTAAAGCAATGGTCAATACATGTGTATTCCTCACAAGTGAACAGTGAGAAATATTCCCCACAAGTCAGCAGTGATAAATATTACCTAAAATTGTTAACTGTGAGAAATATTCCCCACAAGTCAGCAATGATAAATATAACCTACGTGAGAAATATTCCCCACAAGTCAGCAGTGATAAATATTCCCCACAAGTCAGCAATGAAAAGTATTACAAGTTAACAGTGAGAAATATTCCCCACAAGTCAGCAGTGAGAAATATTCCCCACAAGTCAGCAATGAAAAGTATTACAAGTTAACAGTGAGAAATATTCCCCACAAGTCAGCAATGATAAGTATTACCTACAAGTTAACTGTGAGGAATATTCAATAACAACATACAATTATTTTAACCCATTCTCAATCAAATTTGGGGAGTAAATTGGAATTAGCATGTCTGTCTATCTTTCTATAGGCATTACATATTGAGGGATAATGGTGGCATTATTTTTTTAGGAAATCTCACATCAACTTCCTGTTTATCTGTGCGTGTAAATTTTTATGTTTTTTTTTCAGCAACTACTATGGTAGCAAGAAGTTTGAAATTTTTTAAAACTCTTTGTTGAAGCATATTATATACTGGTAGTGAGATTCATTTTTATGCAAATTCGATGTCAACTTCCTATATATCCACGTGTCTCGAGATCTGTACGCAATTTTTGTTGCAGTTTTTTCACCAACTGACTATCACAGATATAAAAATGTGGTACATGTATCCATTAGATTGAACCCTAGCAATAAAAATCCTGAGTAGCATTCTCTACTGAGACTAGCAAGCTAACCACTATGCTACACAAGTCCTGATGAGGATTGGCATTTAAATCATGTTTGTGATATGACCATTGACTCAGTGGACTTTTTTTCTGAAAAGATACAAAAGTTATATCATAAAATTATAATTTTTTAAAAGGTTTATTGGGTTTTTACTCCATAATTTTGGAAATCAAAATAGTATATTTCATTCTGTATGCAAACTTTGAGGATAAACTTGAAAAAAAAGTGGAGTGAAGACCCACTCATACATTTCAAAACATTGTTTTAAAAAGTGTGTAGTGTTGTTATGATAGTCGCTGCATGACTATCGAAAATCGTCGTTTAAAGGCCCAGATTGGCGACAATCGATTGTAAATATTATCATCGATAGATCACTATATTTTTCAAGCCGTATTTCTCAAGCCGAGCAGGTTTAACTTTTATATTCACCAAAGGGACATCACTCTAATCAGCAGTAAACAAAATGAGAACGTGCATGGTGAAGAGGTTATAATTATTATATCCATATCCTGGTGCATTGTCTTTTTAAAATACTTCTAAGGATGAATAAATCTAACCTTTTATAACATTTAAAATTATCAATTATATAAGTGATTGTGTTCTTCCGATTCAATTTGATAATAGTAAATTTGTCCAATTTTACAACACTAAAAGTGTGAAAAAATGACTCAATTTGCCCTTTTTCGCGTGTGTATTATATTTTACAGGCCAAAAACTTCAATCTTCATGAGATATGTATAAGTTGTAGAGATTTGACAGATTTACATAAAGTATACTTTAATTTTAGATGAAATATTTCGGAAAATTTTGATACAATACTTGATATCGTGATTACTTAACTTAGCTGAACTCTTTCATGAAGGAGGTAGGAATCATCTGTTGGGTGGGAGCAATGTGCTATTCAATACAATTAATGCAAGATCGATCATTGTAGCATTTATAAGGACAGATAAGTAAAAAATCCTGGTGGAATACCTCGCTAGACAATCGCTGAACCAGCCTTATACATTTTTGAGAGGAGCCAATCCTAAATTGTCACATTTTTAAAGATATGTTTAATTAAGCGGACTCTTATAGTTAAATTTTCACTGAAAATCGTCACATTTTTCAGTATATAAAATATTCTTAACTTTCCTTATTTGACAATCTACTATTTGGAATTCAATATCTGGCAAAACATCGTGATTTTGGCATTAAATTGTTCGAATCATTCGATTGTCACTAATGTAAACAATGTCATTTGCCCCCAGAAATTTAGACTTTTCTTGACTCCCTCGCAAAAGAGCGGAGGTAAGTTAGATAACTGCGAGGTACTCGCGACATAACATATTGAGATTTAATTTTTTCACCTTCATGTTTGTTGCGCTATAGGCTTATCCCTTGTTATGTTCTCGGACTCCCATCTCATTTATCATCCAATAATAAAATACATTTCCAAAGCATGTGAATTATATTTAGATGATAATTAAATACATATGATAAACAATAGGTAAAAAATTGATATTTTTGTCCTTTCTACTCTTCATGCATATAAAATGTATAAAGTCCACAACAATAAAATGATTCATTTGATTTTTGTTAGGATTTGTTCATCGACATCCAACATATTGTTTACATGTTTATGTTACGTTTGTCCCAGAAATCCTGAAAGATTTGTACACTCTGCAACTTTTTTACAGAGGAGCGCACTAAAATCTTAAACTCTTCCATAGTTGAAATAAGACGTATTGGTAAATAGATTTTGCCCTGTAGTCCATCTGGCTGTTTGTCCTCAAAAACTTTAACCTTGCTCATAACTTTGGAGTGAGTGGGGCTATGGCTTTCATATTTCACTGCTGTACACTTGTATTTCTTGTGACAAGACCTTTCTTTGGGTACCACCACCACCAAATTTGACCTCTTGACCTTGAAGTTTGACCACTTTTACAAAAATATATCACTCTTCAACCTTAGTTATAACTTATAACTTTTGCACAGTTGGTGTTAGGGCTTTCATACTTCTCATTGGTATGTTCAATAATTTTTTTGACAGGTCTGCCCAAGTTTTGTATTAAAACGCTTCTGAAACTCATCTGTAAAAAACATTTAATATTGTTGGACGATTTAAACATTTCGGGAAAATAGCAAAAAAAAATGAAAACGTGAAAAAACAAGAGGCCCATGGGCCACATCGCTCACCTGAGCACTGTGGCTAGGAAAAACAGAATTGGTTTATACTAGAAAAGCTTAAATACAAAACTAGTCCCAAGACCAATCATGGCTTTGCTATTCTTGAGAAGAAGATTTTTAAAGAATTTTCCTATATATTTCTATGTAAAACTTTGGTCGGCCATTTTGGCCCCGCCCTAACCCTGGGGGTCATGAGTTGCACAATTTAAATCTATACTACCTGAGCATGCTCCCATATAAATATGATAAATTATGGCTTTGTCATTCTTGAGAAGAAGATTTTTAAAGAATTTTCCTATACATTTCTATGTAAAACTTTGGTCGGCCATTTTGGCCCGACCCTACCCCTGGGGGTCATGAGTTGCACAAATTTAAATCTACACTACCTGAGCATGCTCCCATATAAATATGATGAATTATGGCTTTGTCATTCTTGGGAAGAAGATTTTTAAAGAATTTTCCTATATATTTCTATGTAAAACTTTGGTCGGCCATTTCGGCCCTGCCCTACCCCTGGGGGGTCATGATTTGAACAAACTTGAATCTACACTACCCGAGCATGCTTCCATATATATATGATGAATTATGGCTTTGTCATTCTTGAGAAGAAGATTTTTAAAGAATTTTCCTATATATTTCTATGTAAAACTTTGGTCGGCCATTTTGGCCCTGCCCTACCCCCGGGAGTCATGATTTGAACAAACTTGAATCTACACTACCTGAGCATGCTTCCGTACATATATGATGTGTGTGTGTGTGTGTGTGTGTGTGTGTGTGTGTGTGTGTGTGTGTGTGTGTGTGTGTGTGTGTGTGTGTGTGTGTGTGTGTGTGTGTGTGTGTGTGTGTGTGTGTGTGTGTGTGTGTGTGTGTGTGTGTGTGTGTGTGTGTGTGTGTGTGTGTGTGTGTGTGTGTGTGTGTGTGTGTGTGTGTGTGTGTGTGTGTGTGTGTGTGTGTGTGAATTATGGCTTTGTCATTCTTGAGAAGAAGATTTTTAAAGAATTTTCCTATATATTTCTATGTAAAACTGGTCGGCCATTTTGGCCCCGCCCTACCCCGGGGGGTCATGATTTGAACAAACTTGAATCTACACTACCTGAGGATGTTTCCCCATAAGTTTCATCTTTCCTGGCACAGTGGTTCTTGAGAAGAAGATTTTTAAAATATGCCACTAACTTTTCATTAATTCCCAATTATCTCCCCTTGAATGAGGGCGTGGCCCTTCATTTGAACAAACTTGAATCCCCTTCACCAAAGGATACTTTGTGGCAAGTTTGGTTGAAATTGGCCCAGCGGTTCTTGAGAAGAAGTCGAAAATGTGAAAAGTTTACAGACAGACAGACTGTCAGACAGACGGACAGACAGACCGACGGACGGACGACGGACAAAATGTGATCAGAAATGCTCACTTGAGCCTTCGGATCAGGTGAGGTAAAAAACTATGAGGTTCGCAGAAGTAAAATGGAGGATAGGTCAGGTGACAGGAAACATGAGTACAGTCATGTATATTTTTTATGCCCCGGTATACCCCTGCGAGACGATCATGAATAATTCATGAATTTCCTTGAATTTTTCATGAATTTAATTCATGAAATGTTCATGAAATGTTCATGAAGATCCTATGAACTTATTATTGGACATTTTCAAATCATGAATTTTTATTCATGAAAGAAAATTGATGAATATTCATGAATATTTTTTTTCATGAATAATTCATGAAGAGTCATATTCATGAAGATTCATCATTTCAAGAATGTCCAATAATAAGTTCATAGGATCTTCATGAACTATTCATGAATAATTTGATGAATTTTTTCAGGAATGTTCATGAATGAATAAAATTCATGAACCATTAGCATTCATGAATATTCTTGCTTATTCGTAAACAAAAAATGAAATATTATTATTCATGTTTATTCATGAAAATGCATGAAGTCATGCTAAAAAAGTAACAGTAGATGATTTATAATACAGCATTTTGAAAGATTTTACAGAAATGTTGTTTGTTTTCCAACCATGGCAACAAAATCTTTGTTAAAAAAATTAAAATAGACAATCTGACACATTAAACCATAGTAAATGAGTAATGTAGTTCATTCCTGGTAAAAGTATAAAAAAAATTCAATTCAAATGCAACTCTTTGCAGAATGTTTAACCTTACTTGGTCAAAAGGAGAGGGGGATCCTTCCTCAGCATGTTTCAAATTGTGTTTTAATGCCAGAAATTGAACAGTTTTTAATTCCAGTCTAGGAGAAAAGTTTGTTCAGCACCAGGGAAACAGTTTTCAGTGCTTTCAAGCAGTTCGAGCAGAGATGGTCAATTCAAAAATCCTTATTGTCTCTCCATGTGGAATTTCCAGAATTTCATCATTTGGATCCTTTGATTGAATATCATTCATATTTTCATTTCTTTTTTTGTTTCTTTTTCAAGAGCTCAGATTTTTGTGCAGCCAGAGTTTCTTCTCTTCTGCTCATCAACATTTGTGAACTGCTTCTCTTTTTCCTTCAAAAAGAAAGATTTTCTGAAAGTACCCATGATTGTAAAACATAAGACTTTTTTGTATTTTCTTGCATTTTAGATTCATTTAATTTTGCATCAGAGACACTTCCAAATTAAAACATTCTGAGTGGAATTTAAGCCTAATTTCTTGGACCACCATTTTGTAGATCAATCAGGCCTATGAATGTTTTGAGTCTCAGTCTATAATTAATGTATGTTATATGGTTGGATCCAAACTCAAAGCAAAGTTAGACAAAAATTGCATTAAAAAAAGACATATTAATTTATTATAATGTGCTTTAATTAGTTGTTATTTTACAAATAGACAGTAACATTTACAGACAGATTTCTGACTCAGTGATTGTCTCCATTTTTTGTCACTCACCAGTTATGAAGTAGATCGATCCTATATATAGTCTTCCTTCTTCATATTCTGTTATTTTCTTTAAAAGTTGACAAAGATCAGTGACTGTACTGTTTATTGGACACACCTTGTGAGAGGGTGAAAAACTACAAATTACAAAAGCATAATAAGAATTTGACAAAATATCAAAATCATAAGCAATCATACAAAATTAAATGCGTAACTTTAACATGTGAGCTGAACAGGCCTATGCCTATCGCATGCTGGAAATGCGCGGTTTTACAAAACATTGTAGTTGCAGAATTTAAACATGATAAAATATATTGCATAATACTGTTAGATACAGATGATAAAGTTCGATATAAATTCAAGTAAAACAATATAAAACTTACTCCTTAGGGAGGCCAACATCACCAAACTTCACAGCCAAAACGCCAGGCAAACCGCATGGCTACCATAATTAGTATAAACAGAATATTGAACCCGATCGAAATAAAATTATGCAATTCGAAAACGGCACAGTGACTATGCAAATAATAGATCACAAATACTGATTCTTCCACACTACAAATTCCCATTTCCAACGTCTCGCGCGTTTTCAAGTTTGCGCCTATTCAAAAATGTAGGTAGAGCTAAGAAATACCTTTAGTTTCGAATTTCCAAGATTTTCTGTTTAAAAAAAAATTACAAACACTATCTGAATAATTTTTCACTGAAAATACAATATTTTAAATCAAAATAAGTTTTATGAATGAGAATTTCAATTTTTTACGTCATAAATTCTTGCATGTATTGACTTTTAGTTTCCGTATAGCAGATTGTGGCGGCCCCCTAAGACATGATAATAACAATCTCTCGCCCTCAGACAGAATATTCTGAGCTGTGAAGACGCATCAGAAAAATAAAACTACAAAATACGGAATGTGGATCCTAGATACTTTACAACCATGCAGTCTGTGCTCTATCATTTACGCACGAAGCAAGGGAAACTTTTGACATTTTAACTGCACCAAAATTGAAAAGTATGTAGCGTTTCGATCCAGGAATAATACGGTACAGTACAGACAAGTGATATCATTTTTAAGTTGTTAATAGATATATAAAACGTTTTTTTACGAAGCTCACAAAGTTCATTTTCCAGAATGTTTCATTTTCCAACAACTTGTTTAAAGTTTGATGTTGAGAAAAAATTCGGTCGAACAAAGTTGTGTGATGAAAAACGACATTAATTAAAGCACATTATGATGAATATATCTGTTTAATTTAAATTATGAAGAAACACAAGTAATGAATTTGAAAAAAAATTGTGATGCAGTGTTTGTTTAATTAAAATCAAATAAAAACACTAAATGTTCAGAGATTTCATGATTTATTTTTTCAGATGGTGAAAGAATTATTATTAAACATATATTATACCAGGGGCTTGTTCAACAATTGCATCTGCATGCAAAAGTTGTATTATGAGAGTATTGAGTGTTTTCTGTTAATCATTTTTGTCAATTATTTTAGTCTTCATGAAAATTCATGAACATTCATAATACCTTGAACTCTACATTTTTTTCTGTCTTTAAAATGAAAATAACCAATATTCATATATATTCATCATTTGTTCATGAACTACATTTTATGAATATATTCATGAATAAAGTTCATGAACCATCTTTATGAACCAGTCATGAACCAGTCATGAACACATTATGAATGTTCATGAACGATTCATAAAAGTTCCTGAAATCATGAATTTCACCTCGCAGGGTAAGTGTCATATTTGATATTATATGGAATATGTGATTTGCAGCACATTTTACTGATATTTCTTTAAATTACAGGTATCCTGAATTTTTGTCAACTTCTAGCCAAGATCCTGTACTTAAGCTGAATGTGGAGGACAGATGTACACACAGTACTAGTATAGAGGGTAAGTAGACCATAAAAAAAAACAAGATGTGTTTGTGAAACACTATACACCCTGGCGGCAACAAAGTTTGGAAAAAGCTATTTTTAGCATTAAGGTCACAGTCAAGGTCACAAAGTCATTGACCTTGGTGTCATTTGAAAGAGGTTGATTAGTGGAGTATGGAGTGGACTCCATGCCACTAAACTGGAAGTGAACACCGCAGTGAATATTTTACGTAATTGAAGAAAGAAAAAAATTGTATGTAAATCTTCATGTACAATATTATGTTTCCATATGTGATCAATTAAAAAAAAATATATTTTTAAAACAAAATAATGCCTCATCAGGTCGGTAAGACAAGCTGTTTGGCTCTTTGTTGACTTGGCTTTTCAATGATTTAAATTTGGCACCGTGTAAAAATAGAATTATCTGTCCCTGGTACATATCGTCTTACAAGTAAGAAAAAGAATTGATAACTTTTAAAGTTTTCTTAAATATGTTTAAAATAACTGAATCAAAATATGTTGAATAATTATTTATTTTATTTCATTTGAACAAGCTTTCATCATCATGATCATGTTCCCCTTCTACCAATAT